ATATATATATATAGAAAGCATATCAAGTGAGAGGGAATTTATTATGAGAGATGAGAGAGTTAAAATATAACCCTTAGATTAATTTCCTCTCACTTGATTAAATTCTAAATTTTCTCTCATTAATCTAAGGGTATATTTTAACCCTCTCATCTCTTATAATAAATTTTCTTTCACTTGATATGCTCCCTATATATATATATATATATATATATAAACCCTCCTCAATAAATAGCTATGGTTAGATAAAACTACTTGGAATATGTATCCTTTAGATAGATTTCTCCTTCCTGACTTAACATGTCATTGGCTATGGTGCCATGCTCAGTTGTAGTAGGTTGCCTCTGAATTTTACCTCATTTTTATAACAAAAAAAATGTGAATTGATCATTTTAGTAGACTGAGACCTATCAGATGGAAGTATAATATACTAAACTAGCCTTTGTCAACAAGATAAATCTTATTAAGTGAAATGATATAACAAAATTAATTTTCATGTAAACATATAATTTGTGTGTATATATATATATATATAACTTGTATATGATTTTCAAACTTGGTAGTGTTTTGATAAGTTATACATATGTTTATGTGCGTATATGAATATATATAACTTGTATATGATATGTTGAAACTTGTAGGGAGAAAAAAGCATAAAGATGAAAGCAGTATTGGAGGAACCACAACTGAAACTACGGATGCCAAGGCAGAACGCGACTAAGATTGAGGTGCCTAGCTTCTTTGTTGAAATGGGGAGAGGAATGAAGATGGGAATGGTGAACATGCATGAAGATGATGTGAGTGAATGGAGCAACCTTGGAGAAACAACCCACGTTTATTTCGAAAGGGTGTCACAATTTTTCAACTGGACAGATTTATTTCCCGAATGGATAGACGAGGAAGAAGAGAGCGATGTTCCATCATGCCCCGAGATACCAATGCCAGAATTCGCAACATATGAAGACATGGACGTGATCGTGGCCAAGTTGCCATGCAAATACCCCGAAGAAGGCTGGGGAAGGGACGTTTTCAGGTTAAAATACATTATATACATACGAAATTCACATCATTTTTTTAACTTTAACACGTAACTTGACATTTTTCATCCAGTATTTATCATTTATGATAGATTAATATCTATACTTCCTCTTTGTTTTGTTCTAGGTGTCTAATAGCGCATAGGTGTTTACGGATCATTTTTTTTTTCTTTTTCAGGTTACAAGTTCATCTTATTGCGGCGAATTTGGCAGTGAAGAAAGGGAAGAAGGATTGGAATTGGAGGTTAAAAGTGGTTTTGTGGAGCAAGTGTAGGCCAATGCTGGAGTTGTTTCGATGCGATGACTTGGTTAAGCATGAGGGTGAGTGGTGGTATTATGAGGCTGATGTGAAGAGATTGGAACAGAAGATTTCTTTGCCTGTGGGGTCCTGCAATTTGGCTCTGCCTCTATGGGAACAAGGTATGCTTAATTAATAATTACACATTCATATGTTCATGTTTATGTTGTTTGTGCCTGAGTTGCATGAAGCAAAGGTGAAATGAAGTGACTAGTAATTATTAATTCAGCTAGTTAAAATGATGAATTGTGTAATGAATGTTATTGATTATATAAGCTAATTGAAATGTTTTTTTTTTGTTTTTTTTTTTTTTATCTGGGTTTTGATTCTATTGCAAAATAAGTGTGTGCATTGAACCATAAAAGCATACATGCATTCACAAATTAAAAAGTAAAAATATAGTAATCATACTTAGGAAACAGACACTCTATCCACTGAGGTACAGGGGTTTGGTTGTGTCATATGACATGATTTATTTTATAGTTATTAGTTATATGATTTATTATATATATAACACTTTAGGTGAAGTTTATGATGAATTAGATAAACCCTCACATCAAGCATGCCTAACAACTTTTAGAAATTGTTTTCCAAGACGTGAATTAGATAAACCCTCACATCAAGCATGCCTAACAACTTCTAAAAATTGTTTTCGAAGACATGAATATCGAAGCAGACCATCAAGTACATCTTTACCTATTCAATTAATTTCATATATTAACCCACCAATCAAGGTTATATTATACTTAAAGGATCGGAACATTTCGCAATTTTATATTTTATTTAATAAAATATTTAAAAATTATTAATATTTATTAGATTAATTGATATTTTATTTATTTTTCAAATTTTAAAATTTTGAATTCAAATTTTATATTTATAAGAATGATTAATCGATAAAATCGTTTAAAAATTATATATATCAAATCAGATCATGGTAGTATTTTTTTTTATATAAAAATAAGAGTATTTATAAATATATATTTATTTATTTTTCATCTTATTTTTCACATCACATCTTATTTTTATTATTTTTCTTTTTACTCTTTTTTTTCTTCATCTCTTCTTCCTTCAACTTCAATTTGTCCCATATGAAGTTGAACATAATGGATTTTTTTTTCCACAAAGTTGTCCTGATTTATGCATAGGAAGAGATGTATAAAATGATGAAAAACTTTTTTTTTGTCAAAAATAGATGGTACAAATTATTCAAGTATATAAAAATTGGAAAAGTATAATTGTGATATTACTTTATATATTACTGAGTTTAGAGGAGATTTAAAAAGAAAAGGTTAATAATTAGTAGCTTAAAAATAAAGTTATCACTTCTTTTAATCTTAAATTTGGGTCATCATTAGCAATCGTCCCCGTGACATATATAGTCTAACCGTTAATCATATTGTATGCGGTTTATTGAGTTTAAAATGGAAATTGCCCGAAAAGTTCTTATTTTTTTGTCGGTGTGAGGGACGGTCAAAATTATATATGGTACAACTTTTATTTTTTAAAAATTTGTGGCGTAAGCAAGCAAATTTTATTTGTGCTAAACAATTGATAACCACCATATTATTTTATGAGATGTGAACTAACCACTTTACTAGATAGCTACCTCAATGTTACTTCTAAGTTTAGGATGAACTTTTGTTTCTTTATTTTATCAACATATACATGCTAGTTACAATATATATCTTCAATTTCCTTGTGTACCAAGAGTATCGTGTTTTAAGAAATCCTTTCCCCGTGTTACAATCAAAGTTGGTTGCCATTTAGCTTTCAACTTTTCACCCACTTAAGAATTTTATAAAATCATAAAATAAAATAAGATTTTATATATGACCTTATCAAAGGGTCAAGCGTATATTCCCTTATAGGAAAATGTCGCGAACACATTATTGCTACATACCCTACACTAGGTCACTTGCAATATTTTATTCTGGCTAACCCATTTGTATTACGTTATTAATGTGAATATTAATCGTTTGTCATATTAATTGAGGTGTTCATGAGGATTTTTTTTTTAAAATTAGGTTTAATATATTATTCGAAGTTACTTGCTATATTTTATACTAGCTAAACCCCACATGTATTACGTATTAATGTGAATACTAATCGGTTGTCATATTAATTGAGGTGTTCAAAAGAATTTTTCTTTTTTAAATTAGGTTTAATATATTATTCGATGCCTCTTTTGTTAAAATTTTTTAACTAAAAATTTTTATAAATATTTTTATGATTTAGTCCATAGAATTAAAAATTAAAATTCATCTACAATCTATAAAATTTCCCATAATATTGTTTATATCTTTATATTTAAACAAATGCATTAGATTATTTTTTTTATATAAAAATATATTAAATTATTATTTCATTTCATCTTTCATACATATAAGTCTTCATCCCTATATGTTAAAATTTTTTAATAAGAGAATTTTTATGTGTAAAATTAAAATATAATATTATAGATAATGATAAGAAATCGCAATATGATGTAATTTTTTAAATATGAGAATATAACAAATATTATTGTGAAATTTCATGAACTATAGTCAAATTTCTAACTTCAAAATTACATTATAAAAATATAATAATAATAATAATACTAAGATTTAATTGTAATTTTTTTACTTTAGAAATTTAATTAAAAATGACCATAAAATTCAGATATCAAATGAAGTAGTAAATTTTTAAATCACGACATTCATTTATTTTTCACAATTTTTTTCTTATTTCTTTGAAAAATTATTTATTAAAAAAAAAGGTGTAAATTTTGGTTGGAATTTTCAGGGATCGACACGGTGTACGACACGTCGAACCTGGAAGAAAGCGTCCGAAGCGAAGCGAGAGCAAAACGCGAGGCCTACGCGACGGTGCTCCATTCCTCGGAAGGTTACGTCTGCGGCGCAATAACGCTGGCGCAGACGCTCCTCCAAAGCGGAACCAAACGCGACCTAGTCCTCCTCCTCGACAGCTCCTACTCCGCCGCGAAGCGCCGCGCGCTCGAGCTCTCCGGCTGGCAGATCCGACTCATCACCCGGATCCGAAACCCACGCGCGGAGAACGGCACCTACAACGAGTATAACTACAGCAAGTTTCGCTTGTGGCAGCTCACCGATTACCACAAAGTCATATTCATAGACGCCGACATCATCGTCCTCCGCAACCTCGACATCCTCTTCCACTTTCCTCAGATGTCCGCCACCGGCAACGACCAATCCATCTTTAACTCCGGCATCATGGTCCTTGAGCCCTCCAACTGCACCTTCGATGTTCTCATGGCGCGTCGCTACGACGTCATCTCCTACAACGGGTACGTAAAATTACTAATACTTCCTATCAGTTTATAATTATTTAATTTATGGAAATTACAATCACGACAAGTAATTGCACTCTATCAGAGTTCGGGCTTACGTATATGATAAATTCTTTCATGAAAATTTACTGATTTCTGTTTCTTAATTTTGAGTGTTTGATGTCTTTAGTAAAATTACATTTAGTTGGAGGTTTTTATGCTGGTTGAAAGTTTGTAAGATATAAATTAGAAACTTACAAATTAACTTACTGATTTAATTAAAAGTATTTGGTGAACCAGTTGATAAATGTAAATTTAAAATGGAGGAATATTAGTGATATATTTTTATTATTAGTTAAAATTTATTAAAAATTATAAATTTTATGAATTTTGTATATAATTTCAATCTAGAGATTATTAGCAAAAGTGTGTTAAAGATAGTGTTTGCAACATTACTCAACTACACTAAAAATGTGTTTTGATACGGTTTCTCATTTTTAGACTTATTTAGACCTAAAATAAAGAATTTGACTTAATCTAATGGACCAACATGTCAAACAATACTCTAGTCTAGTCCAATTTTAACAGCTATATTTATAAGCTAACTTAATTTCACAAATCAGTTATAATAGTTTATGAAAATATTTAGAAACTAATTTATTTTACTTTGATTAATAAGCTTTATAAGAATCTATAAAATTTATAAGGTTAATATTTCTACGTACATGTATTACTATTCAGTATTCACATATTGTTTTACAGTGGTGACCAGGGATTCCTGAACGAGATGTTCGTGTGGTGGCACAGGCTTCCGCGGCGAGTGAACTTCTTGAAGAACTTCTGGGCCAACACAACACTGGAGGCGAGTGTGAAGAACGCGCTGTTCGGCGCGGAGCCTCCGAAACTGTACGCGATTCACTACCTGGGGCTGAAGCCCTGGCACTGCTACAGGGACTACGACTGCAACTGGGACGTAGAGGATCAGAGGGTCTACGCCAGCGACGTGGCGCACCGACGCTGGTGGAAGGTCCACGATGCCATGGACCACCGCTTGCAGAGTCTCTGCCGCTTGACCAGAAACCGAAGGACCGAGTTGAACTGGGAAAGGAGGAAGGCTCGCAAGTTGGCCTTACCTGATATGCATTGGAACATCAATGTTACCGACCCCAGGAGATCCGGCTCTCTTCTCATGGATTAGATCATTAACTACCTTCTTTCTAGTTATACCACATTCTTTTTTTTTCTTTTTTCTAATTTTCATTTGGGGTTTTTCTTTTTCTTTCACTTTCTCATTTTACTTACACAGATGCTTTTGCCGTGCACTTTATTTATTTATTTATTTGCGTGGAAAGGGTACAGCAATACATTTTTGGTTAGCCAATAATGGAAACCAAAATAATAAAAAGGAATTCATTATTACACTGTTTTAGCCGATCATGATTCCTCGATTCTTTTTCGCTTTTTCCCTTTAATTTTTATGGATCGATTCCTTTGGCACATGTTTGCATCAACTAACTTTAAAATTTACGTCAAAGGGGGAAAAAGAGTAGAAGATAGTATAATTGCGGGTTTGGTTAATGTTTTAGACCGGGATAGTTTTGATCAAAACTCGGATTGAATAATTCTGTTACTATTGTCTCTGCAATGCTACTCCGAACTACTTATACAAAGTTATACTCAATGTAGGTTGATTTAAAATAAATCTAAATAAAACTCAAACAAATAATTTATATTAAATGCAACTAAGTTTTTCTCTTTATATATAATCAGAACTTCGCTATGTTGCATGTTTATTTCTCTTTCTTAATTCTTATGGTGTCATAAGTTTGGAATCCCTTTATCAATATCACTTTATCATTATAGGCTAAGATAATTATTGTATAAATTATTGAAAATGACATACACAAAAATATACATACACTCATAATAGAGAGCAATGAGTGAAATTTAAGTAGAGAAAAAGTTTATTCTTACACTCATGTATTACACATTATTACTCATCCATCTTATTAATGAACAGTAATATAAACATGTATTTACAGATGATGCAAACACATAACACTAACAGATTAAGGTATCCATATGATACATGTAAACTGTACCATCAAATTATATATGTACAAACTAAATCTTCAGACTACACATACAAATGATATATGTACAGACTAAATTTTCAAACTATATGTGCAATTAATCACACAAATTATACATATAAATGATACATATACACTATATATTTGAATTGCAATACTCAACACTCCACTTTAATTCAAATGTTTCATGGACACAACTCCTAACATCTCCTCTTAACTCCTTGAATTTGTATGTCTTCAATGGTTTAGTAAAAACATCTTCAACCTATAACTCAATACAAAAATAGACCAACTTTAGTTTTCCTTTGTTCACTTGATCTTTCAAGAAATGAAACTTGGCCTCTATATGCTTGTTTCTTCCACGTGCAATTAGATTCTTGTCTAAGCTTATAGATGACTTGTTATCAACAAACAACTATATTGGTTTCTTGTACTTGATCTTCAACACTTCAAGCAATGATTCCAACCATAAAATTTGACATGCTACATGTGAGGAAGCTATATACTATGCCTCATAAGAAGATAGAGCAACCACACTTTGCTTATTCGAACACCAAGAAATTGGTGAATTCATAAAATGAAACAAATAACCAAAAGTACTATTTTTGTCCATCTTGTCTCCACATTAGTCAAAATCTAAAAATGCTTCAATTTCTACCAAATATTGTTTTTTTCCCTTAGGAAATAACATGCCATACTCATATGTTCCCTTATACATTTGGCAGAAGCCATGTGTGAGACTCTTGGATCATTTATGAACTTGCTAACCAACCAAACTACAAAATTAATGCCAAGCCTTCTATTACATAGAAATCTTAGTGATCCCACAATATGCTTATCCAATGTGCCATCAACACATTTCTCTATTTCTCCTTTTACCAACTTCACATTTGTTTGAGTTGAGGTCACTACTTCATTGCAATTCTCCATCTAAAACCTCTTTAGCACCTCTGAGATATATTTTTTCTGATGCAGAAAACACTCATATTGGTATAAGAAACCTCCAAACAAAGGAAGTAATTAAGAATTTTCAATTTAGTCATCTTAAATTTTGACTTCATTCTCCCCTTGAATTCCTCAATTTCAAAGTTATTATTGTCTGTAACAAGAAGGATATCCACATACAAACATACTAGCATCAAATCAAATTCATTCTTCATCTTCACATATATCCCAAACTCAATTAAACATTTTGAGAACCCTTGTTAGTGCAAAAAAAGCATCCATTCTCTTGTTTCAAGCCCGAGGGGCTTGTTTCAAGCCATACAAGGCTTTTCTCAACCTTTATAATACATGTTCTCTTCCTTTCACCTCAAATCCTGATGGCTACAACACATACACCCCTTCCTCTAGTGAACCATTGAGAAATGCAAATTTTACATCTAATTGAAATTAACAAAGGTCAATCTTTAGAACTAGTAATAACAATTACTAGCATAATTGTTTCAATTCTTGCAATTTGAGCAAATACCTCATGGTATTCCATTTTATCCTTTTAATGAAAGCCTCTAGCAGCTAGTCTTGCCTTAAGTTTTGCAATTGAACTATCTGCTTTCAACTTCATCTTAAACACCTACTTAACATCAATTGGTCACTTTGTAGTTGGAGGACCTACAAGCTCCCATGTATGATTCCTCTCTATAGCTTTAATTTCTCCATTCATACCATCCTTTTTGCTTAAGAGTCTGCTCTTAATTTATTGGTTCTAAGTTTTCCATGAAAGCCAAATGCACTAGCTCACCATCAGACGAGACAACATCATTTGAAAACACTTCATGATCTACAAGTTTGCTTGATGGAAATCTCAACCTCTACAATCTTCTCTCTTGTTGTTGCGTAGTAAGAACTAAAGTATTGAGTTCAACTTAGTCATCCCCTTCAAGATCAAGTTGAACATTAGTGTGATGTTGTCTCATCCACAACAATATCTCAACTAATAAGAACCTCTACTTTTGACTTGAATTGTACAACTTGTACACTCTTGTTGGGTGATAACCAATTAAAATAAGTGTTTTACTTTTGTCATCCAACTTTTCCCTCTTCTGATCCAAAATGTGCTTGTAACACCAGGAACAAAAAATTTCTAGATGATTAACACTTGCTTTATGCCCATTCTATGCTTCATCGGGAGTCACTATCCTCAGTCTCCTTGTAGGACATTTGTTCAACATATATGTTGTAGTAGATACTACCTCTCCCTAATAGCAATTAGGCATTCCCTTTCCTTTTGTTAGGTTAAAAGACAATCTTAGATCCCTTTAGTTTTAAAGTTTTGTTGTCAACAAATAAAGAGGTTTTCGATCAATATAAAAGTTTTCAAAATGACTAAGACAAATCTTCTAATAAGACACAACTTTTCAATAAGACAAATTTAAGACAAAAGTTGCACTAAGACGATCTTGTTACTTTTGCTAACTAAGATAGAGCTTTATTTATAAAGAGAGATATGCATTAAATATTTATCATTTATAATCTTTTAAAAGTAAAGTGATTATGTCTAAATGTTTTCTTAATAGATTGAATTAAAAAATACTTCATTGGTACCTATACTTTACAAAAAAGAAGGAAAAAATGATTTACATTAAAAAAAAAAAAAAAGACAAGCTAGTCCATGCAAATATGAAAAGTTACAGTTAAAGTTGTTTCAAAACTATGTTAACCTAATAGGTGATAAACAACTTCTTTGATCATAAAAGAAGTGACACTTTGGTAAAAGCATTTAATACAAACATTTATTTCACCAACAAACACTTCTCTTTCAAATAGAAAAACATGAAGACAGGTGAAGCAAATCATGTGAGAGAAACTCGAAGATTTGCAACGATCATCTTCTTTAAAGGACCTATATAAGGAAACTTAGTGATTCAAAAAATATACAAGAGACACTGAAACAAGAGAATGCACATAAAAAAGAAATATATTAAAAATAATACATTTATTGAAAGGGTGGACTATTTTGGTAAAATAGTATAAAAAAATTGATATATTTATTGTTATTCATAATTTATACATAGAAATTATTCTTATCAAACATGGAAGTGTCCCATTATGTTGATGTGAAGCTTCACTCCTCAATGTTGGTGGTGAGATACTTGTAAAAATGATTATGATGCCTAAGTTAAAAGAGGTCTCGTTAATGAGAGTATATATGAATAAAAATGATACATGTCCCCCTTTTTATAAGTGATGAAGCCTTATTTGTAAATTGAATATCTCCTTTGGTGGTTACCTATTTCTCAACATATCTTTTATAACGGTCGAGTGTAACAAAATTAGGTATTTGGTAACAACCAAAGTAATAAAGTAAATGATGGAAATCCTATTAACAAATAGGATTGTGCTTGCTAGAATTTATGGTTTATTAGATTAAACTCAGAATTTAGGAAGAAAATGGATAATGGTTGTGCTAGGTGTGGGCTAGGGTTAGAATTGATGGGGATAGAAAATTGTTTCCCTTCTTGGACGGATGAATTAGGAGTCAATCAAAAAGGAGAATGGTTGGCTGAGTTGGGTTATTAAAAAGAAAAAAAGGTTGTTGGTGGTAGTTTTAGTGAAATATTCTGGACAGGACATAAGTGGATGGTGTTGGTGCCACTTCCTTGGAAGGAAGATAAGCCAATTTGAGATGTCACACAAAGGTAATGGAAGATCCTTTGATAAATCTCTGAAATTGGTTCAAAGAAGAACCTAGGAGAATCATTCTCACAAAATAAGTTTTGAAAACAAAAATTAAAAGTAAACTAAGCACTATCATTAAATGTGAAGTTTGTAACTTCCCTAAAGGTGCAATTGAAAAGATTAATACAAATCAAAAAATAGTCCATCTAAATTGGTCAGCTAACACAAACCTATTTTTGGGCTTTAATTTAATTAACATAATGCTAAATAAACCACCCTTAAAGGCCCATTAAGAAAGGCTCTACTTGGTCTTCATTTGCCATGATGCAATTCATCATTTTAGGCTTCAAATTTTCTAAGTTAGGGCTAATTTCAAGAATAGTTTCCAACACTTGTTGCAGAGCTTCATTTGCTTTCTTAGCCGTTGCCCTTGTCATAGGTCCTCCAAGTGCTTCATGGTCTTTGTCCTTAGTTATGTTCTCATTAGTAAGTGAAGTCTCCACGAATTTGAGATAAGTGGGGAGGATGTTCTTTTTGCAATGATGATTGTTTTGTGGATCTATCCTCTTACCTATACTACAAAAAATATGCAATTTAGCGACCACTAAAATTGGTCGCTAAATTGCAAAAATCGGTCGCTATTTACCTTAGCAACCGAATTTAATCAGTCGCTAAAACCCTAGTCGCTAAGTTATTTAGCGACGAAAA